TGTATGCACATACATACACACATATACTCACACACGTAAACTATTGTTATACAGACAAGGTCCACGTTCACAGACTCAACTCCTCACTCCTCTTAGATGGCAACCCGGACGCCCCACCCAAAGAAACCTTTTCTCTTTACTGAATATGGAGACTTCCCCTCCCTTATCTACCAAGGCCACAGAGTTTAACAATAATTTATACAACATCGGTACTATGTCTGTAACTAACCTAGAGACAGAGAAAGAAGGGGTATGTGGGCAGGTTATATGTAAATACATCATTTTACATGACGGACTTGACTCTCAAATATAGACTGAGAAACCACTGTGTATCCTTCTTAAGGATTCTCAGGTGGTTTGGTTTGTTAGGAGCGTAGATTGCCCTTGAACTTGCTTTACCCAGGCTGGCCTTAAACTCCTGGTCCTTCCGCCTCCACCTTCTGACTGTTGGGATTCCAGGAAGATGTCACCATGTTCAATTGATCTCAGCTTTAATAGGCGCTATTTATGATTCACTGACCAATAATGGGGTGAGTGACATCACATCAAATCAAGACATCCTAAGAAGTATGAGATGGAGTTACTAAGCCGTGAGCCCTCAGAACAGAAGCCTTGATGCCCACAGCCGCACCCACTGGGGTGCACATGCTCAATGACATCTGTTTTTCTGCCCCAACTACCATGCTAAAAACTGGGTTCAGAAGGGGAAAGGAAGAAATAATAAGATCTCCAATTAGCTAATACTTGCTAACCCAAAGGTCACTATAGAAATATGGAGAACACAAGCACCCTTCGCTGAGGGTGCCAGCACTGAAAGACAAACCCACCTTCCTGCTTTGAGACCTGAAGCTTCTGACCATTACAGAAGGCGCCTTTCCCTTTCCTGCCAGTGTACATCTTGTCTTCCACACAGCTGTACACAACTCCAAACTCCATCTGCACAGAAGCAAGGAGCTTTTAGCAAACCTGGGTATTTATTCATTAACAGCTATCATTTTGTGAAAAAGCAGCAAGAAAATCTAGGACATTAATAAAATATATTCCAACAGCTGCAGGGGAAGCATTGCCCAGACACAGTTGGTCGTCGGAGCCCCATCCTTAGCTGGCACTCACGTCGATGTGGGGCATGCTGTCCCTCTCCTAGCTCAGACAGACAGGACTTTTTGTGTTTTGTATAACGAACACTGTGCTCTCCTGTATTAAGATTCCTGCACATCCATTTGCCCAAAGATCCTTCTTCTCTTGTAGCAAACTAAGGATTCAAAAGCAGACAGCACTCCACTGCTCGGGCTGCCTATCTTAAAGGCTTATTTAGGATCATGTGGTGTGCCAAGTGACCAGTACAGCCTGGGACCAAGAGTTCATACATAGTGACTTACGTTTCAAATGCGTGTGTGTTGCTAGGGATTCAACTGAGAGATTTATATACGCTGGGCAACCATGCTACCACTTAGCCTTGGGCTTTTATTTCAGACATTTCTTTCTTTTTTTTTTTTTCGTTTTTGGTTTTTCAAGACAGGGTTTCTCTGCATAGCCCTGGCTGTCCTGGAACTCACTCTCTAGACCAGGTCAGCCTCGAACTCAGAAATCCGCCTGCCTCTGCCTCCCAAGTGTTGGGATTAATTTCAGACATTTCTTAAGTATTGTGTTCCTGCTGATAAAACCGAGTGCTCAGGCTCCTCAAATACAGCAGCCGAGTAGCCAAACAGCAGGGTACAGACCAAAGGGCCCCCAGTGACTACAGCCCTCACGCTACTGGGGTTCGTATGTAAGTATTCATTCACTCATGTTCCTAAACCGCATTTCCAGCCATCCTTCATCCCCTGGCACATGAAGCCATGCTTACAAATGTCCTGCTCCATCTGAGGCACTGTAAAGCCACATTAAGTCGTGACACGGCTGTGTGTGTGACTCTGACGGTCACCAGCCTCCTTCCATCCGTTCAAGTTCTCTTTCCGACACTGGCTTCTTGGGGAAACAGGCCTTATCTGCTGGGAATGTGTGTGAACATGTCCCCAGTCTTGTAGCTCATATTTACAGGTGGCACAAACCAAAGATGACAGTTTTACTTTTTCTCAGAAAAGGAAAGCAAAACCATATATTTAAGACATACCTCTTTATTTACAACGAAGCCAATCGAAACAGCTACAAAGGGAAACCTTAAAAAAGAGACAAAAACCCACAAACTAAACAAGACAGAATTTAATTTCAACAAGTATGTATATAACTGTTTTCAAATCAATTCTCATAACCCCTGAAGTAAGATGGAATATGGACTGGAGGAAGGGTCAACACACGCACGCATGAGATGCCTCTACAGACATTAGCTACGTTCCTTAACATTGGTCACAGTTGGAAAAAAAAATTCCTTTCATTTTCCTCATCAGCAGTTAAACATAGGTATCAAGGAGAAAAAACTATTTGTTTCCATTCTGATGCGAAACTTGGGGCTGGATGGCAAAGATTTTAAACTGTTAGCCACAGTGATTTTTATGGCTTCCAGTTTGCACACAGACCATCTCACACAAGAGTTTTTTAAAAAGTTCAGCAAAATAGGTTTAAATGTAACTGGAATAAGCTTAAATACTAGACTGAAAATAAGCTTAAGTATTTAATGTGGCGTTCTTATTCTAATAAAAACCCACCACTTTTTATTCAATATATCTCAAGCAGAAAATCACACAGTGAACACACAACAGGAATGACAGTAACATGCATACCGATGCACAAAGTTAGTCGTTCCGTCAATGGGGTCAATGATCCATGTGGGCTGGTCTGTGAAGACTGTCCTTTCCCCAGCTGCCACGGATTCTTCACCAATGAAACTGAAAGCAAGAAACACAAACTCCAAACATCTAAATTGGATTCAGGGCTTTAAGCTTCAAGGGTCCACCATGAAGCACAAGCCAAGTCTATACTGCTGTTCTATTATATTGTTGCTCTATTAGAAAGAAAGAAAGAAAGAAAGAAAGAAAGAAAGAGAGAGAGAGAGAGAGAGAGAGAGAGAGAGAAAGAAAGAAAGAAAGAAAGAAAGAGGGAGGGAGGGAGGGAGGGAAGGGCAGGGAGGGAGGGAGGGAGGGAAAGAGAGAGAAAGATGATGATAATAATAAACACGAAGAAGCTCTGTTTTCCCTGAGCAAAGGCGTGTGAAACAGTACAGAGTCCTAAATTCTAAATGCAATGTTGACATAAATACAGGGAAAACCCCACACATCTGAAAAGGTCATCCTTAGAATGAGAAATTAAGAAAACACAGCAATCGTAAAAGCAAGAGCGCAGGGAGGGTGTGTCAGCACGTGCTACAATCCCAGCACTTAGGAGGTACAGGAAGCCAGAGTCAGTGGTCCCTGGCTAGCCTATGCAAGAGCAAGACTGCCTTAAAATCAAACAAACTGAAAGAAATACTAAAAGACCACAAATTCTCTAGATCCTAGCAAGAGGCAGAGCTCAGACATCACTTCCTTGAGCGTGACCTGACTTCTAAGCCAAAGAATACAGCAGGGCTGAGTTGTACAGCTTCGTTACTGGCCTGGTAATTTCAAATGTTCATACTGTTTTTCCCTCCCGATCCTAGAAGAGCTTCCAAGTAGCTCTGAGAATGACAGAGAAGGAGCCAGGGAAGCTGCCAGCAGACAGCCCACAGGGCCTGGAATTGCCAGCAACCACAGATGTAAAGGACCCCTCAGTCCTACTGGGACCTTGGTGACCCACTGATGGGAACTCTCAGAGACAGCCGCCAGAGCCATGCAGCCAAGCTACTCCCTACTCTGGCCAAACTGTGAAGCACTCTGTCTGTCATTTAGAATGACTTAGAGACGCAATACATAGCAGAGACCAGTTGGTAAGTTAATGAGAATGTAAAGCACCTCCCGAAATGACTGTGTGCAACTGTTAAGTCAATTTTATAAATGGTGAATGAGTTCACTGGTTTTCTTTTCTCCTGTTCTCTTTTTTCTATTTTTTATCCTTTGACACTGAACTGTTTTAATACATATTTGTCCTCTTTTTCCTTTTTCTCTTATTTCTAAGCCTTTTTACTGGAAGGAAGTATGTTCAGTCACAGCTTTAAATATTTTTCCAATGACTAAAAGACTGACAGCGGCCAATGTCACAAGGAGGAAGACGTAACAGCACTGTAGCATAAAACCTTCAAAGGATGGCTTTTAGTTTCTTGGAGTTCTGAGGACTTGTACCTGCAAACAGCACACTACTGCTGACCTTGTTTCCAGCCTGCTGTCTCCTAAGACAGGATCCCACAGTGAGCCCTGGCTGGCTAGACCTTCCCATACATCCTTCTCCTGAGTGCTGAATTAGGGACATCTGCTATCTTTGCTGGCTGACAACAATGTTTTTGGTAAATTTGGGTCTGATTTAGGGTTTTCTATGGAACTTCCTAATCTAGCATTTCTCTCACACATGCGGAACTTTGCAATTCGGGGAGTTTAACGGAGCTCTCCAGATGTGCCCATGGCAGCAGATAATTACATGCACCATACACACATTCCTCCTATCAAACAGCCCCTCTTTCCTGACCCTAAAACCACAGGACAGGCAATCAACCTAACTCACTGCTCTGGGGCTCCTGCTCAGGATTTAGAATCTTAACCAGTGAGGTAAAAATATATAAAAGATTAGTTAGAAACCAAAGTCAAGACCAAAACCACACACACACACACACCATCCAAAGCAACGGCCCAGGCGTCACTCACAGGTGTCTTCCTCCCATCACCCTGGCCTGAGCCGCCCCATACCCTCAAACTCAGCTCCTTTTCAAGTCAAAGTCACCTACTACAACTCTGTATCTAGACATATCTGCCTCATGCACAGGCTGATTCCAATCTAGACGATCTTATCACTATAAAGTGGCAGAAGAGATACCTGTGACACGGGTACTTTTCCTTTATAGAAGACATGAGCATGTTCTCTACTTTTTGGTCAGTAACTGTTACCAAGTCGGCTGGAGAACTTTTAATCATGACATTCATCTCATTTTTTAGAGCTTCACGAATCATCTAAAAAGAAGTTTTGGGTAAGCAAGTAAAAAAAGATGTAAGCAATTTAAAACCAAACAAGAAGGTAAATCACAGAAATAACTTCAAGCATTCAACCAGTCTTAACATGTTCTTAAATGTTTTCTTTCAAAACTGACTATGACACAAGACACTTTTTATTAGGACCTTCTAGGTAAAATAATATGTAATTTCATATCTTTTTTTAGATTCATGACTATTCTCGAAAAAGCTTAACTCTACAAACTGAAAAATCCAGCTGGAGATGCCATGCAGTGTCCGTGATGCTTAACATCAACACAGGCCTAGACTCCACCCCCAGGCCACACACACACATACACCTGTACACAACCAAATACACAAACACACATACACACACACACTCTCAGTGATGCTTAATGTCAACACAGGCCTAGACTCCACCCCCATGCCACACACACACCTGTACACAACCAAATACACGAACACACATACACACATACACACACACTCCCAGTGATGCTTAACGTCAACACAGGCCTAGACTCCATCCCCAGGCCACACACGCACACACACACACACACACACACACCTGTACACAACCAAATACACAAACACACACACTCCCAGTGATGTGTAACATCAACACAGGCCAAGGTTCCACCCCCAGGCCCCACACACACTCAATCTTCACTGTATTTACACACTATGGCACCCAGTGTTGTTCATACCTCTCCAGCTTGTCTTGCGAGGATCACTGCATAGTCCATGCACTCCTGCCAAGGGTCTGCCATTATCTAGACAGTCAACACAGATCAGCAGGCAGGCACTTACACAAGCATTTCAACTGGCAACACTGTGATTTTGATTCACCCCTCCCTGGTTTATAGTTCAATTTTTCCCACATATAGTCCCAGTAAAAATCATTTTGAAATATTATACATTTCACCTAGTAGTAAAGACTTTTTGTTACTGTTGCTGTTTTGAGTCAATGTTTCCCAGTCCAGGCTGGTCTGAAAGCCAAGGATGGCCTTGAACTCCTGACTTCCTGCCTGTACATTCCAAGGACGAGGATTACAGGCAGGAGCTATTATACTCAACAGAAGTATTATCAAAGCAAACCGTGTTCTATGAAGTAGTCTCCCCAAGGGTCCACACAATATCACATTCTGGGGTGTAGCTATTCCATATCATATTGTGGGAGGTGGTGGGGATCCCCCTGAAACTTAGGTAGATGAGGTCAAGACATAGTCTAAAGGTCAGGTGTAGGAGTGGGTGGAGAATGAGATAACACAGGGAAGGCTGGAATAAAAGCACTTTTAAAGACAAAGGAACAGAGACTGTCGGCGTTAACTCCAGGGAGCTGAGTGCTTTGCAGATGGAATTTTTAAAAAAGACAAACAATAAGGTAAAGGTGAAGAAGTTAAGGTTCACAAATTAGAAACACTTGCCCCACGGTATAGGGACATTTTACAGAATGTATGCTCAGTTCTGATTGGAACGTTCTCTGCTTTCCCTCATAACATTCTGAGTGAAGAAAACTCTAGGTCTAAAAACGCAATTATAAAAGCAAAGGTGCCATTTACCTTCTGGACCTCACGGAGGGGAAGCATAACCGTGTGACTTGCCAACTTTCTGCTGGCCTCTAGAGACCACAGGCTTAACTGCGCACTCATGTGAGCTGAGACACTCACCGCAGGCTTGACTGTGCACTAACATGAGCTTAGACACTCACCACAGGCTTGACCATGCACTCATGTGAACTCCTAGCACATGGAACCATGGAGGGGAAGCTGTCATGCCCAGAAAGGGTGGCTGCCTTTATAAAGCCATGCTTTGCCTGCTTCCCAGCTAAGGACAAGTTACCTCCCTGTGCTTCCTCCTTAAGAGCATCTGAAATCTCTACTCTGTGGCACAGGAAAGAAGCACAGGGGACACAAAGCAGACAGACCAGCTGCTGCTGGTTGCTGCTTCATTTCCCTTTTTATTTGATATAAGGTTGTCTTCGAGCTCCTGACTACCCTGGCTCAGTCTTCAGAATGCTGGCTGGGACATATGCTATCATGCCTAAGCACCTGTTCCTGTGATACAAGCATTCAGGTAAGCATATTCAAGGCCACCTTCTGAGTTATAGAATAAACTCCTCATAGCTCTTCAAGAACGGTTCCCACACTTGGTCATTCGTGTTCTTACTCCACCCTTCTGATCTGACACAACTGGACATTCTCGGGCTGGGCTTGCTTCCTCACCAGAAACTGCTCCATTTCACCTAGTGACAACAGGCACAGAACACCTCCCCACTCCCCATGACTGTTTCCAAAGCTATCCACCGCATCTTCAACCCAACACACATCAACCAACAGGCACTTGCAGAAAAACTGTTGTTCCTATGCAGTATTTGGTCATTTGTGTGCATGCTACATCTTCTCAATCAGTTCTAAGATAGTCCTTGAGGAAAGGAGGCTGATAAATAAAAATTCTTAGGTGCCCTAAAATGTCGAGGTCCAGAAGAGGGAAGAGATTAGGGAAGTCAATTAGGTAAAGATTCTCTGGGGTTTGTTCTTGTTTTTTGGGGGGGGCAAGAATGCTGAAATAAAAACCCTGTGCCTTGATATCCAAATATAGCGCTAGCTCTAGATCTCGGAGGCACTTTTCAGCTTTGTTGCTGGTAGTTTACAAAATGTGCCCCAAGTCTTGGTCAATAAATGGCTCAATAAACTTTTTATTTCAGAGACCTTTGCTTCAAGTTTTGTTTTCACGGGGTTCATATTCTATCACCCTTTACTTTGGGAACAAAGTCATACAGACTTAAAACTTTCTATCCTGGACAGCCAAGCTACCCGCGCCACTTGTCCCCGCTCCTGACATCACCGGACCTGGTCCTGTTCATCCCTAACCCTGTAAATTCGTGAGCCAGGGGACTTGCCGTGTAGAGCCCTGAGGGCTTGGGCAGAGTCGGGCTCATTCTGCGACAAAGAACCTCAGAAGACCGCCTGGCGAACCCCCTGGGCTGTTTCCGGAGCACTACGGCGAGCACTGCCGGGAGGAGGGCCCGGCAGCTACCCCGGCCCAGCATGGGGAGAGCTTGTCTGCGGCCCGTCAGAAACCCACGCCTTGGCTACTGAATAACGCTGCGCGGAATGTAGGGACAGAACTGACTGACCTTGCGCGAGCGCACCGCGATCGATCGATGCTCAACCGCCGGGCGTCCAAGGGCTCGGTTCTTCTGCACTTCCGGGAGGTAACGGGGATTGCTCCGACAGGAAGTCCCGCCCCATTAAAACCTAAGAGAAGGGACAGGATGCCTCGAAACCCCGCCTTCAGCCTTCGTCTTCTTCACTCTGCCTGGAGCTGATAGCCAGGCCGAACTTGCCTTTGTAAGATCTGGTCCGGCTAAGTTTGTGTTCTGGCATTTTCCCGCATATGCTTTCTTCTTTAAGAGTCCCCTCTCTGTTTTGCAAATCTTTATTTCTGTCTTTACTAGTTCATATTTTCCCTTTCTCCCATTCTGCTCTTTGGTCACAGATGAATTGGAGTTGTGACTGTCATTGTGCATCTCTCATTTATTAAATCTGTAAGCCTAAAGGAGAGTTTAATTTTATTTTTTGAAGATCGTCAGCACCAACTCTCTTCTCAGTAATTCATTAAGATACAGGTTGTTTGTTGTGGACTTGACTGCTGCAGGCAGTTGCTCTCCCCACTTCCAGCCCTCAGGACTACGGATGAGGCCCAGAGGTTTGTAAATAACATACAAGCGCTCTATCGTTGAGCCACTTTCCGAGCATTGATTTTTAACAGTGTCCCATTATGTATCGTAGGTTGGCTTCTGAAGTCTTTGAGCATCATGCTTTCACTTCTGGTTTACAGGCATGTGCCACCACACTAGACAGCAGTTCTGCCCTTACATGCTCAAAACATAAGTGTTACAACAGTTTCATGAAGATTCCTTTCATTATACTGATGGGGAAACCTAGACTTGGAGAAGTTAGGGCATTTGTCCCAAACTCACACACAAAAGCATAGCACCCTGACTCCAAAATCCACACACAGAAATATACACAGCTCGACCAGGTTGCTCTGGATGACCAACAGAGGCTAGTTTATGGTTCTCAAAATGTTTCCCCACATGGAACAGTACCATGGTAGGTATGTTACTCTTAAATGGAAAACTTTACACCAGATGACCCACCCATAAGAGGACCACAAAGTCCTTGCATTATTACCTGTGAAGTGATTGGTTCTCAGGAATCAAGACAAGAAATTATTAGCGATATATAACATGTCTCAGAAATGAGTGGCAGGGATGGAAAATGTGATTTGTAAACCCACGAAAAGCCAAGGCGTGTCTGATCTTCTGAAGACTGCTGCCTTAAGACACAGATGTGGGTGTCTATCACATACTTGAGGTTGTTTGGTTTCCCACAAAAGGCTTTCAAGAACTTGGTTTTGGGGTCCTCTATCATCAGTTATTGGAAAATAAATATTGTATCAAATGCATGCTGACAGGCATGAATATTTGACCAAATGGAATTATCTAGGCATTTAAAGAAACATCGTCTTTAAGCCTTTTATGAGTGAAGTGTCCCACTGACAAAGCAGGAGAGATGAGGGAGCAGATATCAGGTGTTTTTACATTAAAGCTGTTGCTAGCTTCCGACATCAGATGAGCAGGTCTCCGGGGTTGTTGCAGCCTCTGTTGCTTCTTTAGGTAGCTCAGGGTTTTCGGCACAGTCCATTCTCCTGCCAAGTGCACAAAGGAGTCTGATGTTTTGACTCCATTAAAGGAGCCCTGCAAGCTGGTGTCATAAACTTTGTTGCTGAGTGTGTGGAGGTTGGTTCTGATGGCTGTAGAGACCCCCATACATGACTAGAAGAAAACTCTGAGATGACAGAAAAATGTTAAGCACACACAAGCGTGTACACAGACAAACACACACATACCACAGACACTGGGGTGGGAGGGGCTCTGTTCCACTGACTTAAGCAAACGCTAAACCCTGCATGGTCTCCCAAAGCCCACTGAAGAATTAATTATTGACTAAGATTAAAATGATAAGAGTCTACATAAACCAGGTGGGCCACTCAGGAGTAGAGTCTATTTCCATATTATTCAATATGATTTCATGATTGATGGAACATAGGTAGGACTTACAAACACTGGTCAAAATAGTTAACATTTTCTGTAGTACTAACAGGTTCCAGGTCATAAGAATATATATTATTATCACATAATTTTTATTCTGTGAATAGTGGAGTGGACTTATCACTCCTAAGAGCTACAAACTTAAAACTAAAAACAAAATTTAAAACCTGGCCCATCAGTACTTTCTTTCTTTCCTTCCTTTCTTTCTTTCTTTCTTTCTCTCTCTCTCTCTCTCTCTCTCTCTCTCTCTCTCTCTTTCTTTCTTTCTTTCTTTCTTATTGCTTGATTAACTGAGGTAGGTTGTCCTGGAACCCACTTGCTAGACTAGGCTAGGTTCAAACTCATGGCAATCCATCTCCCATGCATCACTCTTGTTCTTAAAAGCAAGGTATGTTGATAACTTTAATCTTTATTTGATTTAATACATTTTAATGATGCATAAATCTATTCCATAAAGCACATATCTGGTTAATCTGTATCTTAAGCCTCTGTAGAACTCTGTGTTTTATAGATCTGAAAGCTGACCTGAAACATTATCAGTTGCTATAAAGCACAACTAGAAAGACGCCTGTCTTTCGATTGGCAAATTATGTACATTGAGCCGGGCGGTGGTGGTGCACGCCTTTAATCCCAGCCCTTGGGAGGCAGAGGCAGGCGGATTTCTGAGTTCGAGGCCAGCCTGGTCTACAGAGTGAGTTCCAGGACAGCCAGGGCTACACAGAGAAACCCTGTCTCGAAAAAAAAAAATATGTACATTGAGAATACCTCGATGTGTTTGTATTATGTAAGTGGGCTTATATTTTGAGCCTCTGAATGGGCATTTCTGTTAAAAGGAGTCAAATGCTCCAGGGAGGCACCCATTGCTTTTCTGTCAGGATAGACATCCACCAACACAGCATCAGGTCTTTTATAAATCATGGTTTTGTACACTGGACTTAGTGACATAAGAAAGAACAGATTTGGTTATCTTATATCAGCTGGAAACTCTATAGGCAAGAACATTGACAGGAATACCTTAAACCTTTAGGGTTAGGCTCCAAACATAGCTTGGAGTTGATATTTCAGACTACCAGCATGTATCTGTCAGTGATGACAGCTTAAATTTGGACAAAGCAATAGTAAGAGTCAACTCTGTACTCTGATAAGCAAGCACAGTGGATAAACGGGTTATATAATTCCCAGGGCAATCTAATGGAGTTGACATCATCTCCATCTTTTAAAATGAGGGAACTGGACTGTGGGAAAATTATTTTGTCTCCAACAACAGGGGACTAGGCAAATAGGGAAAGACATATCCTTAAGAATGGAGTCTTTTGGGCTTTGTTTGTTTGTTTGTTTGTTTAGGCTTAATAGCCACATTGTCTTTGGACAAGAATATGGACTGGCCTTAGGTTCTAAAAATGTATCAAAATTTTCAGTTATACATTTTTGACGATGTAAAAATATATCCAATGAAGCACATATGGAGGTTTTTTTGTTTTGTTTTAATGCATGATTTAGTTTTGCAGTGTTAGAATCCAACCTCCAACACACCAGCCAAGCACTCTATTACTGAACTACACGCTCCTGCCCAAAGATTAATCAATTATGTGTTGAAGCAGTCTTCATTTGGGTCCTAGCTTGAGCTGTAGCAACCTGTCTGAGTAAGCATATGGAATGCTGGCATGATAGAAAAAGTAAAAATGGGTTTCATGTTTAAAGATGAGGAAGGAGAATAGGAAAAAAAAAAAAAGAATAGAAACTGCTGTAAAACAGCCAGGCTAGCCTACACAGGTATATCCAAGAGGCAGTGCAACTGTGCTCCACACAGAAGCAAAGAAAGACCTCCATAATATGAAAAATATATATAATCCTGTGCCTTGAGCCAAGCCAAAATCTGAGTCAAAAGAAAACCACAAAATGGCAAGCAAATATTTAAATGTCAAGAAGTGGCAGAAAACAAACTGGAAAACTATATTAAACTCACAACAAAGCCTCATAAATGCTTTACCAATGCTTTCTGGACATAGCAAACAGGCTTCTTTGCAGGGAAACTATGCAATCCAAGTTAGACTTTTATAAGATTAATGTGACTGACCAGAGTTAGAAGAAGCCAAGGCCAGCTTGGAAAGGCTTGGGAAAGCAGCAATACCAACTCAACAGTCGTGGGAATGGGGAGGCGGCTGGTGCAGGCATCAGCTAGTGGTAATGAATCTGCATGCCCATTCCCTGAGTCAGCATTTCCTGCCCCTTCCCAAGGACACTCTTTCCTTAGAAACTTAAGGATATAAAGATTCACTGCTTATTTCCATTGGCATTCCTCATTATAAAATCATTACCAAACTAAGACACTGCAAAGGCATCTTATCCCCTTCTCAATGTGTACTGTCAGTTATAAGGTGCTTAGTATGGGTAATGTATAATACACAAATACGTGTGCACATATGTAACATGTTATACACATCTATATGTTACACACACACATACACACACACACACACACACACACACACAGACTCGCACAAATTAACACCATGTCAAGCTTTTAGCCAACTTGAAGATGACTTTAGTGCATGTGTAGTTTTAAGCTCTTAGTACTTTAGCCAGGTCAGGAATTAAGAGTTCTGTAGTTTTAAACTAGAGGAGTTTTTTCATTTTCTGTGCTAAGGAATGGCCATCTCTTAGCCTTGTAGACCAGAAGGAGCAGTAACATTTCACATCCGGAACACATAGCTACTGTAAATGGAGCTACAGAGGCTTCATAAGCCTTGGACTGGGAAAACGAAAGCTGGATGATGGCCAGCGCTAAGAAACTATTCAACATCCCACTTTCGATAGCCACTGTTTTGCAAACAGGAAGAGGCAGCAGGTAGACTTTAGCAAAGGAATAGCCAAACAAAAAGCCCAGTGCAGGAACCAGAAGCCCCAAAAGAAACACCTCTAGGTTAGCCATTCCTAGAAATACCAGTCCCATCCTGAAAGCCAAGTAGACCCCTACAAACATTAAAGTCAAACTCAGAGGCCGCACTACTCTCTCTAAACAGACTGCTTTTTCAGGCACTCTGTGCTTAATGACTACACCAATTGATATTGGCATAAGTATGAAAAGAAGAGTAGACACAATCTTTAAGGCAGGAACATGAAATACACCTGCTAACCCCAGTAGCTGACTGTATAAGTACGAGTTGACAGGCATCATGATGAGGGCCAGGGACGTTGACGTGCAAGTCATCAAAATGGCCAAAGTGACGTCCCCTTCCAGAAGGAGAGCAAAGAGATAGCCTCCACCTCCTCCTGGGCATGTGCAGGTCATTACAAATCCAAAAGCTTGTGCCTTAGACAAGCTCAAAATCTGAGACAAGAGAAAACCACAGAATGGCATAAGAAAAAACTGTATAACTGCCCCAAGAAGTATTGGAAAAGGTCTCTTCCACACTGTTTGAAGCAGTTGGAATTCAATCTTGCAGCCAAAAGCACATTTATTTAAAAGGATCATCGATAAGACAAGCAGGAAGATGTAGCTATTGACATGGATTGGTGCCTGGAAGAGGCTGTCCTCCGTCTGTCTGAACACTCTCACTCTGACATTCTTTATCTCTTCGATGAGGGTTGTTTGCCTACCTCCAGACTCCCAGAGCTGCACAGTCAGATTTGTCTCTCCTGGGAAAGTCTTCAGGTTGATGGTAAAGTCTGTGATGCCCAGGGAGGTCTTGGTCACATTCATCACCTGCAGCACGTTAGGATCCTCTGACTTCACAAGGAGGTAGCTGGAGTGAGGCTGTTTATCTCTGTAGCTGGACCTCACAATGACGGTTTCTTCTGTCTCTGTAAATGACAGCATTTCTGCATTTTGTATATTCAGAAAACTGAGAAATGACTTGCTCGCTTCGCCTGGGGTCACCAATAAAAGTAGAATTATAAAAAACTTGCCAGACATTTTGAAAATTTAAACAAGTCATGTGTGCTAAACCAGTTTTATCAAAAAGCAAAGGAGCATTCTTCTTACAGTCCTCAGTCACTGAAGGCCTAAATGAAGTTAGGTAATAGTTGGGTTTGGTTGGTCAAGGTCCAGGAGGAGGGACTGTTATACTTCAACCAGTATAAAGCTATCTAGTGAGCAAGCGACACAACCAGTTTAACTTGTAGTTAAGAAAACATAAAAATAAGCCCTTGCATTTAACAGGTGTCACTTATCACAAACAAAAACCTAATCTCTCTTCCTGAGTTCCTTATTACCTGGGTATAAACACTTGAAGTTATTACTTTTTGGGTGTCTTTCGTCCATAGGAAAATAATAAAATAAACGCAGCCAGGGGGAATAAAACAAACAAACAAAACCCCTAAGACAGAGACCATAACTTGGGGAACAGTATTCCATCCAGTCAGAGTCAAATGGCCTAACTACATGCTGGTGTGACAGGACAGTGTGTGGTGGTGACAGGGGAAAGGGAGGAGGCGGGGAGGAAGACAGGGAGAGGGAAGGGTGTAGGGGGAAGGGAGCAAGGAGAACAGAAGTAGTGAGAATTGGCATATGAAAGAAGCCAGTCGGCTCAAAGACTGGAAGCTCCTTCCTATCAGCACTCTGTCTTGTAACAAAGTGCGCAAACAACCAACAAGTAAATGTGTCCCCCTCCCCACTACATTCTACACATTCTCTCCTGTCACATCAGCACGTGGTTAGGCCGTTTTGACTCTGGTCTGATGGAATGGTTATACTGATCTCCAAGCTTTAGTGACAAATGTGCCAATCTGCTCTGAACATGCACCACTAAACTTCTAACCTTTCCCCACTTGGTCCACTTCCACCCTGGGAAGCGATTTCTTAATAAACTTTCTTTTCCTATCAGCATCCCTGTGTCCATTCCTAGTCCAGTTGTTCAGGGACACTAAAAATCAGACTTGAAGCAGGTGGCCTTTGTACCCTAATTCACTCCTATAACACTGGGCCTCTAAAGTCAGAGCCACAGTGCCCCAGCTTAGTCATGTGGCTGCCATCATTAGCTGTGTTGGTTGATCTTGAGAGAACCCTTGATGCTAACAACTCTAGAGTTCTGGCACAATTCCACTGGAGAAGACAAACACTTAGACCACCCTTAGTGTCTGTGAATAGGAAAACGTCATGCAGGGTTACCAGCTAACTGGAGAACATAAGGTGGTCATAGCCCAGTAAGTGGCTGCTATTACTGGGCATTTGGAATTTGATGGTGGAAAGGTACTGACCTTAATTTGAATGTAACATGACTCACTATGCACAGCTGAGGTCATGGTCAACTGACCCAACTGTGTCTCAGCTTCCATGGATGACGGAAAGCAATCTACAGACTCAATTTCCCAAATGAGAGGATGCCAGACAATAAAAACTAAAATAATAAACCTTCCACTAGCACTTCTACAAATGGCTATTCTAGTTTTGTCTCTGTGTGTGTCTGTGTCTGTGTGTTTCTGTGTGTCTCTGTGTGCGTATCTAGGTGTTAGAATACAAAGTAATGAGCTTCATCATGGTGTTTTCACAGTTGGACAGATTTTTTTTAAAGGCTGTGCTTGTACGTTAATTTTTTAAATATAGTAGGTAGACTTGTATCATGAATTTATTTCCATGTAGGACATTAAGAAACACTAACCAATGGTGAGAACAGAGAATTGGACTAATTTGCTCAGTGACACCAGTTAAATTCCCAAGGAACCCTTCCCCCACCCCTCACCCCCGACCCAGACAGAGTCTGACTATAAGGCTCTGGCTGTCCTGGATCTCACTTTGTAGATCAGGTTGGTTCTGAACTTAGAGCTCCACCTGCTTCTGCCCCAAGTGCACCACCACAGTTTGCCTCCCAAGGAACTTTAAAGTGACAAAACACCTGACTCTGGGAAGGCTAAAGCAGGAACATCACATGGTTAAGGCCAGCCTGGGGTACATAGTATATGCTTGTCAAATGAATAAAGAGCCAACTGGGATATCTCAATGGGTAAGGGCACTTGCTGCCAAGGTGAACATTTGACTTTGATTCCCAGAACACATAATAGGAAAGAACCAACTCCACAAGTTGTCCTCTGACCACACATACACCAACACTAAATACTGTAACTTAAAAAATAAACCAGTGGACGCTTTTCCTCCCAACCGCTTTATCTAGAGCTTTTGCTTGTTTGTTTGTTGTTTTTCTCTTTCAGGTTCTCCTAACCCATTGTCTTAGTTAGGGTTTTACTGCTGTGAAGACACCACGACCAAGGCAAGTCTTACAAGGATAACATTTAATCAGGGCTGGCTTACAGGTTCAGAGGTTCAGTCCATTATCATCAAGGCAGGAACATCAAGACAGGCATGGTGCAGGAGGAGCTGAATATTCTACAGGTTCATCTGAAGGTTGCTGGCAGATACTGACTTCCAGGCAGCTAGGATGAGGGTCTTTAAAGTCCACACCCACAGTGACACACCTACTCCAACAAGGCTACACCTAATAGTGCCACTCCCGGGGCCAAGCATATAGAAACCATCACACCTATTTCTGAAAACTTCAGAACAAAACCCTAATAAATGTAGCTAGGACGAATCCTATTATCCGGTTTTCTCATGTAATTCCTTGTTTAGATAGGTGCTTGTTAGTATCAAAGTATTACTTCAGTGGTTCATCCACGTTCCTCTCCTATGCTTTGTAGTCTCCCATACATCAAGTAAAAACACCAGGTAGGATGGGGACAGTGTGACCCTACCATTACATTAGGCACACTTAACTGGAAACCTGAGATTGCTGCTTTCAGAGCATCTATCTGGACACAGGGAGTTAGAGGTGAACAGAGACTCCACCCACACCTTGTTCTCTTTAGATTATACATGCCTTAGTTGCTAGTCTGTAGTACCAAGGATGCTCATCCTAGCATCCTGTAGTCCTGTGGGCTCCATCACCTAGGACCTGGCCTAGCTTATGGATGGCGTGCCCACTGTGGTAAATCCCTCTCTGGAGAGCCTTGTCTCTTCTGTCTGATCATTGAGAGGAGAAGACATTTTTCATCCTTCCTAGGTGTCACCTGTCATCTTCTCAGGAGGAATTATTTTTCTGGCATATTTAATTTTCATTCAATTATATGTGCTGGCCACCTACTCTGTCCAAGAATTGTGATTAAAGTACTGGTTGGTATTAAAACTTTAGGTATCTCAAAAAAAAAAAAATCTGGTATGTGGGCTTTTAAAGGACTCTAACTCCAGTTTGACAGTTTCCAATAAAACAGCTATTGGAACACAGCTCTACTTACTCATTTATTTGCAACTTGCCTTCCAAGTCTGTCTGCCAGCTCCAAGTTTATCTGCTACCTGAGTGTTCTTCTTGTGCCTACACTGGCAATCAGACACTGATGTTACAAGTAGGCACACAGGTAACTATAAAGGAATGAACTTAGAGCCTGATAAAAGCAAGTGTACTCCTTAATTAACCTACTGCTGTGAAACTGGTACAGAAAGGGGCAGGGGTGCAGCCTTCCTTCCCTAGTGAATGTAGTCCTTCATCCAGTAGAGACAGAAGACATTCATTCTCCTCAGGTGTAGACAGAAAGCAGTCCCCAGGAGGACTTATTTCAATTTATAGATAAAAATGCAATAATTGTCTGCAGCAGGATATTTATTCACATTGTATTCACAGTGGAGCCCAGTGATTAGGCAGTAGAAGAGGAAGTGGAGCTGGGAGAAGAGAGGACGGGGAGGGGAGAAAAAGAGGAAGGGGAGGGAAGAAAGAGAAAAAGGGGAAGAGAAGGAGGCTATGGACCATGGAGAACCACAGATGGGTCGAAAGCTGTCCTGGGCAGCAACTTCCATCAAAAGGTTAGATACTAGGTAACAACTCTAACTGTGTGGGCCTCTTGTTGATTGAGCATTTCTAAATATACAAATCCTTTAGATAATCACTGGACTTTAAGAGTCTCATTTCTACCGTGTAATGCGAGGATGGCAGATTCTGTCTAGGGTTCAGCCAAGCTTTGTGGATGCATCGTGGTAGATTGACACAGCCATCCCCCATGCTGGCGTCTCATGGGTGCCAGGGCCTGTGTATCTAGCTAGCCAGAGCCCCGGTCAGAGCCAAGGAGCAGTGGGAACATGGTGGCTGCCCAGGAACAAGCTGGACTGGGTGCCATTTTTAAATATCACCCCTACAATTGTCCTGCTTTGGTACAGCAAGCCAGACTGTAACAAAGTCAGTCTGTTCCCTTGCTCTTCTCATCTGTAATGCATTCATACCAACAAAAAGATTAATCCTACTGCAGAAAATCCCTCACCAGAAATATATCCAGTGCAATTACATGATATCAAGAGAAAACTTTCCCCTTCTTAGGTATATGGTGTCTTATCCCAATGCCTGCAAGACTGAAGGAGAGGATCTGCAAGGTCCTGTAATCCATACGGCATGATTTAGGTATACGGTAAGGCTATGTGTTCTGGCCCCATAATATTAAGCTTAATCATAGGACTTGCTTTAAACAATGATGGCAAGTATCACTTGTAAGACGCGATCAAGAGTCTGCCATAATCTGCCATCTGTGTCTTCCTCTGCCATAGAATGGCAAAATCACAAAAAAGTGGGTGTTATGTGAGTGGGATCTCAGAGTGAAGGTACAGAACGTGACACAGCAGCCAGTCAACGGCTGGCATTAGTCTAACAGGAAAGACACTTTTGCTGATATTTCTACAGCGTAACCCAGAAACAGCTAATAAAAATACTTTGCCAATAACTATCAATACATAGTTAAACTTTAAAACACAAAACATGGAACTTAGTAGAAAAACAACTGGTGTAAATTATGACCTAATGGAAATAAATTTTAAGACAGCAACTTTGCCGGGCAGTGGTGGCACCCACCTTTAATCCCAGCACTTGGGAGGCTGAGGCAGGCAGATTTCTGAGTTTGAGGCCAGCCTGGTCAACAGAGTGAGTTCCAGGACAGCCAGGGCTACACAGAGAAACCCTGTCTCGAAAAACCAAAAAAAAAAAAAAAAGAAGCAACTCTGAGAGTTTTAAAAAACTATCTGTAGTAAAAGAAACTGACTGTCTATTTAGAATGATTTCTGCTTCTAAGGAGTCTACTGGTTTAAATTCTTGAATGACTATTCTAAGTAAGAGTCAACATTTTTTAAAAACTGCTCTTCATCATTAAGGTATTCCAAAATAACATTTCCTCCATTATATAAAGGGCACTCTTCCTTTGTGATCCACCTTTCCAGTGTGTGATCCAAAGGCAAGGCTTCTCCGGAAGGGACGTGACACAACCTCAGCTTCTGGTGAGAGAGAAACAGAGCACACAGGGTAAAGGACACACTTGCTGACACATCCCAGAACTTGAAGGAAAAGCTGTCACCGGATGTTACCTTCGCTGTCAGCCTGTTGTTTTCGTTCCTGAGATTGGCTAGGGAAGCTGCGACGTCTACCACCTTCCCAATGCTCCACCGCAGGCAGAAGAACATGGCCTTGCTCTTCTCTTTGCTCCCCTTTGGTAAGTATACCTGGAAGTATGTTCTTTCTGTCTGTGTAAGCAAAAGTACCATATAGATCAGACACACGAGGAGGCGTTCCTTATTCAGCTAGTGGTACCTTAACTCTTCTTTTGGTCAATGTAGAATAACCCTATAGCATCAGTTTTAGTGAGAAAAAACCAGCATGTAGCCCACCTACCTAACTGCATGTTCCAAAGACTCCAACCCTAGCTAGGTTATCTTTGTAACCACGCTGTACGGCCCTTTATGTTCAGGAACTAGGTGCAAAGCAACTCTTCCATTTTCCTGTGTTCAGTTCCAGAGATTCAGACCTGGACTGTCGGCTTTCCTCAGATCTCCCACCCATTTCCGAGTTAAGAGTAAGTTCAACATGAACAGAGAGAAATCAAGAAGACTGATGGTGGCTCATTTAACGACACTAGAGTCCCTAAACATGCTCCCTCTGTTTTGTTCTGTAAGGAAACAAACTTGCTACAACTGTACTCCTTGGAATCAAGGTCCTGTCACTTTCGAGACAAGGCTTCTTGATTCAAAAACACTTGTTTTTATGTGAAAAACATATCAGAGGTATCAAGATTTTTTAGAACAAAGAAAGTGAAAAACTAAGTGCAAAAAAAGCTCCAGAAAGATAGTTTATTAATACAACAGGGTTTCAGAAACAGCTCCTCTAGCATAAGCTGTGCCTTACTTGCCTTCTTCAGTTGCATTTTCTTATATAATTATCTTTACTAAAAAATAAGTGGGAATAGAATATTCCCTGATTCCTAAACAGTGCATTAGGGAGGCATCTTCACAGGTCAAGTCCTGAACAATAAGAATGCTCTAAGTGAAGTGTCTCTAATAGAAATGTTGTAAAATAATAGAAGTTATCTTAAGAAATAATACAGTCAAAACAATTCCTGTCTGATCAGAAAGGAATTTAGATTTGCTGAGGGTCAGTGGGATATATCATAGCTAAAAAGCATTCAAAGAAAAAGAGAATCAGTGTAAACCTAAGCTTTGATCCATGTCTGAAATCTGCAGTCCCTGTTCCAAAAGGAAAGAAGTAAGAACAGGCAGGAAGAGAAAACTAAAGCTCCCAGACTCTAAAAATATGTCTAGGATCAAAAACAGGAGGCTGAAGCAGGAGGTTCCTGAGTTTGTAAATATAAAAACAGCCTTGGAGACCCAGTCTCTAAATAAGTAAATAACAACAAAAAATTATATATATGAGAGACAGACAGACAGACAGAGAGAGAGAGAGAGAGAGAGAGAGAGAGAGAAAGAAAGAAGAGCGTGAGCGAGCGTGTAAGCGAGCTTGAATGGCGGCTGAGTTGAAGTAAACAAGGCCAGGGCTGCTGGGGACACGGCCTCCAAGGAGAGGCTGGCATGGGGCTTGGGCACCCTATCCTACCAGCCACCTTACATTTTATTTTTTTCTTAAGTATCATTAAGGAGATTAGAATCTACAGAGTTGGCTAAGGAACTGAGTGTGGAGTGCTGGCCTGGAAACTGCTCAGACACATCTGTACAGAGAAAGGCAAAGAAGCACAGCAAGCGCGTCCAGCTCCATGGCTGCAACTGCAGCAGCCTCAGAACCTCCTTAGCACACTCTGTTTTCACTCAGCTCACTTGCTGGTACTCTGGGTGAGTGGGCTAGAAGAGAGGGAGGGACTGGGAAGTCAGGACAGAGAAAAACACAAGGGATGGTTCTGATGCTTTGATTGGGAAACTGTGTGTAAACCTTGAAGGTCCTGTTCCCCAATTGATGGATCAATAAATTCTTGATGGATCAATAAAGATGCTAGTGACCAATGGCTGGGTGGAAGAGGCGGGACTTGCAGGTTCTCCTGCAAGCAGCTAGGAGACAGGATGAGGAAAGAAATCTGCATTGCTCCAGAGGGAGAGAGAGCCACCAGCCATGTGAGATCTCAGGTGGATCATTGGCCGCTTCCCAGACTGGGCCTCGAGTAGCAAGCGGGAGATTAGAAACACAACTAAGATAAGGGCAGATTTAGGGTGCTGAGCAAGAAGGTAAGTGGGCAAATAATTTGAGGGCAGATTTAGAGGTGGGAGTGAAGGTTAGGGGCGTTAGCTGTGGGAGGCCTAGATGTGCCCAACCATTGAGCTAAAAAGCATATTAAAAATAAGCTAGTGTGTGTGTGTGTGTGTGTGTGTGTGTGTGTTTCATCCATGGATACAAGGGAACCATACGGTCTGCCTGGAGCTTACAGGGGGGAAGTAGAAACTAAGCTACTCAAAGCCAAGATGAAGTTGTAGAATCAATACACTAAAAATTTAAAATGAAGCAATGAACAGAACAGAAATCTAAAGACATAAAGTTGTTGGGATGCTCAGTGAGATACATTATGTAATATTACCCACAAAAAGGAACATGTTATAAAACAAGTGGAAATAAAACAAGATGCAAATATCCGAGAAGAAATACAAAAGCTAAACATATGACTTCTAAAATAAGAAACTCAAATCAGATGAATTCCTATCATCCTCAATAGAAAGGCTTACTTAATGACGATGGATCTGAGAGTCATCTAGAGGGCAGCGTAAAGTGGAACAGAGGAACTACAGGCTCCTGGGACAGTCTGGACTACACAAGAACCTATCTCAAAGAAAACAGTCAAAAACCACAATGGCCATAAGAGGAGACAGAATCAACATTCATCAATAGGAAAACCGCAAATGTCACATATTCCCTGGAATATGATGCTCACTTTAAAGGACATGTCAGCATTGTGGGTACCCTTGAGGGTCTTTTCTATTAAGCAATGGGACATAAACTACATAGATGATGACATAATCTATCTGAAATGCATTTTACTTCATTTATAGCCCTGACCACTAGACATTTATAAATATATGTATATGTACGTGCAGACACACACATATATGAGAGAATATAACATATTGTGCTGGTTAGTTTTTTGTTGATTTTACAGTAACTTGAGACACCTGGAAAAAAGCCTCAACTGAGAACTTCTTCGGTCAGACTGGGCTGCTGGTATGTCTGTATGGCATTTTCTAGATTGCTAACTGATGGAGAAGGACCTAGCCCCATATGGGCACGTCATTCCTGAGCAGGGTGCTGTTCTGAGCTGTGTAGGAAAGCAGGCTGAGCAAGGCAGGTGCAGAGCAAGGCAGGTGCAGCAAGCCAATGAGCAACGCTCCTCCATGGTTCCACCTGAGTTCACGCCCCGACTTCCCTCAATGACGGACTGTAAAGCAGGAGCTGAAATAAACTTTCCTCCTCCACAAGATGGTTTTGGTCACTGTTTTATCACAGCAACAGAGAAGCAAACTGGGACATATACAATGGCTAAAAGTTAATTAGTGAATCTGTAGTAAGGCAGGTAACTAAGTATGCTTGTATATTCTGAGTTTTTTCCAGGCTGCCCGGTGCTCACTCTGTAGCTCAGTTGACCTTGAACTCCTGATCTCCTATGCCAGTCTCCTGAGTGTCCAATTCTAAAGATCCTATGTAGAGAAGCTCTCCTCCTTAAACATACGCACCTTCACAGGAGAAACATTTGTTAAAAACAATGCAATGATAATAATCTGGGATTACTTAGAAAAATAAAGTAGGCTACAGTCATACAACAGAAAAATGTATATTCTGAATGAACTAAACAATACAGAAAAATATTAATACAGAAAAGTATTAAAACCATGATGCAAAGTGGGGGAAATAGTGAAGGGCATCCACAGCTCACTGCATCTCTGTAAAGCGGAAAAGTGCATGCAGGAGGATGTAGGATTTATACAGACTCGACAGCACGTGATCTTTCAAAATGACCTTTCAAAAGGGTCAAGTTGTACTCAGTTAAAGAGAGGAAGAGACAGGAGAACTCAAGGACATTGAACACATTTGCCCTGTCACCTGCGGCAGGGACTTGTCTCCGTCAGCGTGCATCTTTAGCTTCATCAGTGCCACCTTTGCAGCTGTTCCGCTGCTTTTCGCGCCTTTCCGTCCCTTAATTGCTGTCCCTCCTGTCTTGGCATCTAAGGAAAAAGTATAAGCAAGTAAGGCTTCCCTTCTTCCCCTCTTTTTTCTCATTTTGAGACAAGGCCTCCTGATATAACATTGGTACTGAGATCCACTGGCCTCTGGTGGGCCGGAAGAAGTACACCACCAAGCCCAGCTTAACCATCATGGCCTTCAGCATGCACAAGTTACACAGTAGTGTATTTACACTACGGATGATCGATCTAAACAGCTTCTACCTCACAAAGTCCACGGGCACATGCTTCTTTCTGGCCTAACCTATTTAATCTACAGCAACCACTCACCCTTTTATGTAACCCTTTAGGTTTTAACAAGGGCACCACCCTTAAAATGGAATAAAAAAAGTTCTACTAAACTAACGCATTGCCAGAGCAGCTAAGCTAAATCACAGCCGAGCTCCGTCCTGGTCAGCAGCATTCAGAAACAGCTCAGGAGAATGTATTCTGTAGACAAAGCAGTCCACCGTGCCAGCCTCATCAACATACCCACTACAACCGTTAACACTCACTCAACACACCTCTGCTCCCAACAAATGAGACTACCCCATGGGAACCTTACCATGTCTGGATTTTCACTGTTCAGGAAGGCTTTGTACAAGATACTTTAACAAGAATTCATTAAAATGCAAGTTCTTGGGAGTAGAGAGATGGTTCAGCTGTTAAGAGCACCGACTGCTCTTCCAGAGGACCTGGGTTCAACTCCTAGCACTAACATGGCTCACAGCTGTATGTAACTGCAGTCCCAGGCCATCTGACATCCTCTCTGGCTTCCAAGGGCACCAGGCATGCAACAGTGCACAGCCATACACGCAGGCAAAACACCATCCACAGAATTTAAAGATAAACAAATAGTAACGCTTTAGAACAGAATGCAAGTTCTTACACTGGGGGCGTGAGCAAAGCCTCTACACTGGGGATGAGAGGTGAGGGGCAGGAGCTGGGGAGTGACAGCTGTGCTCCAGGAAGGAAAGCCACCATGGAAGCCTGGGGACTCACCAACGATGTCTTGGACAAGTTTCTGTGTGGCAGCCATCCGGGGCTTTGGGATCTCCAGCTTTACACACTCATGATCCAACTGATGACGGTGTCTACAAGTATGTATCAGAGAGCTGGCTCTGGTTCATGAGTTATATACAGCTAAACAGATACACAAAGCTTGCACGGTTTAGTGATTACCTTAGGCAAAAGTTCTTCTGACAATAAGGACAGATCACTGCCACAAGCTCTACTTCTGTACAGTCCTTGAACGAGCATGAATAAGCCTTGTGTTCACCTGTCTTCGGTCTCTCCTTAATTACATTGACCTAGAACCACAAGTTAACAGCACAGAGCCAGCGACTGAAGGCGGCATCCACACCACTTCAGTTCAAGTTCATTAACTTCTCTAACGTGTTCTAATTATGTCTTCAGTTAAAGTAGAATGACTATTCTCCCTCCCTCCCTCCCTCCCTCCCTCCCTCCCTCCCTCCCTCCTTCCTTCCCTCCCTCCCTCCCTCCCTCCCTCCCTCCTTCCCTCCTTCCCTCCCTCCCGCCCTCCTTCCTTTGTAATGCCTCAGGGGCTCTGAATTTGCAGTCTATTCTGCCTCTCGAGAGCTGGGATGACAAGGATGAACCGCTGCGCCCAGTTTACTGCCTACAGTTTTACTCTCTGATTTGACACAGCGGCACACAGAGATGCCTCTATAGGAATATGTCAAGATAGTTAACTCGTCAACCCTCAAACGGGGAGCTATACCCACTTCTTTTGCCAGTTTAAGAAAATAAAGAACTATTTAGGAGACAGAACCCTTAAAAATCACATATGAATCATGAAGCAGTTTTCAAAATCATAAACTATTTCTCATGCTACATGGAAAATTTTATTATCACAAAATGTTACATCAGAACACAAGGGTTTTTTTTTTTAAGGGAAAAAAATAAACAGATTGTCCATATTACTGAGCACAGAGTAAGTGGATTCTTAGAGTTAAGAAAATCTAAGAAAATGATTGCTTAAAATCTGTAATCACAGGAAAATCCTTCACATAATGGCGGGAGCATCTATTATAACTCAAAACTTAAATTTTCTTCCAAATTTGCAGTAATGACTTAAAGGTAAAAATCACACTTTATTTTGTTAGGCTAAGGATTTGCTCGTGGTGGTCTAAGACGGATGGGTCTGAAAACTTTACTACCACAGAATCCTATCCCCAGACACCAGCGAAAGCGAGCCCTACACTGATGGGGCAGTGAGCTGTACGGACAGTCTGACGTCGCACTGAGGCCAGCGTGTGTTATAAACACATAGCTTAGCATGGTGAGGAGTGCTAGGAACGGAAATTATGAGGATAAAAACGTAAATACCAAGGACAGCAAATTTTTTTCCAAATAAAAAAAAAATTTAGCAAAAGATTCTGAGCGTCATGCCTAGTGTACTAAGAAACTTTAAATCTAATCAAATTCTAAAGCAAAGTACATGAATACAAATCTGTAAATTATGTCAGGTAAGAGAAAATAAACATACCTCAGAACAACCATGAGAGTCCTTGCTTCTGTGTTCAAGGCTTAAATAATTACAAAAAAGATGTTTATTTAAATGCAATCAGCTAATATATTTAATGCTAACTGAAGTAACTCAGGCTGTTTTAACCTCTGACATCCTTAAGGTAGTGACAGCATGTACACTACATTAGTGACTTCTGTTTAAGAACAAGCTGAAACCATGGAATGAAGGGGCGTCTACAGTCTCAAATGTTTTAACCGTAAGTGTTCACTTGCAGTTGAGTATAACCAATGCACTGTTCTAGTTTATGTTTCTTTGGAGTGCTTTAAAGTGCATGCAAATGAGGGGGTCTCAGTTTCTCCTGAAAGGAATCAGTTAGTGAAGGAATGTGAAGTCAAGGCATGACTTCCCAAATCCTTGAGTGGAACCCAGGTCATACTTGCAAGTTCTGTGTTCAAATAACATAGACTATCTATTTTTAGAACATTACAGGTTGGACATTTAATGTACGTTTACAAAAAGACAAAGAATAATCATAGCTGGATTTTTAAAGGCTATATTCTTTAAATTATGGGTATTATCCTCACTGTAATGACGACACATAATCTTAAAATCTACATTATGAATGCATCTCTGGAAACTTAATGCTTAAAGACATATATGTGTAGCCAATTAGAGCCTGTGACTAATCAGTCTGCCTTTTTCACAAATGATTACAACACTGAATGTCAGCTGTCAATGGCTGAAGTTACAACTCTCTTTAAATCACTAGAATTCTCAGAATTAACTCCATATTGACAAACTCCAAAATTATTTTCAAATCCTACATAAAAATGTAACTTACCAAAATATTCCTGAACAACCATCACACACAAATGGAAGAAAATCTAAAATTGGAGGAAAATATGGTAGGTACTGGTGAGTATCTGATCTTGATTTAGTTTTCTTAAGCAAAAAAATCTACTGGCCAACTCTAAGAAAAATTTTCTTTCTTTGTCCCTGCGTATCAAGTTACTATGTAATCCTTATTAAACAAAAACTACCAAATCTTCAACTCTAGGAAAGTGGCTAAATCAATGGGAGGTAGATGTTACTCAGTAACTTTGTTAAAAAAAAAAAAAAAGTGGTATTTTTCTCTGTTGTTTTGTTTCCAAGATTTACTAGGTGTTGTCTTTTTGAACAGCAAGCTGCAGAATGTCTGCATTTGGTATCAAAATTCTGCGTTTTAATTCTGACTCCATTTAACATCAATCTAACAATAGTAAGTAGATTACCTAATAAAGCCATGGCTATACATGTAGCATATGCTGTATATATGTTTATCTCTTCATACATAGATATATGTGTATATATCAATCTCATTTATATCTGTAATTCCTTATTAGTTAGTTCATCCTAATGCTGTTTATTACATATACTTTGGAAAGTTCACACAAGAATCAATCCTCAGTTATAGGAACTAATTATTAAAAACAATCACTTATGTTTTGTGTTTACTTTCTGTTTGAAACAGGTCTCATAAGGCCAAGGCTGGCCTCTAAACTCCTGATGCCCTGGTCCCCCCTTTTCAGACTCAAGAGTGCTAGAAATACACTCAAGAGTGCTAGAAAAGATGTTGCCCTATAGGTATCTTAATCCAAAATACAAAGAGGTTGGTTGTACATAAACAAAAGGGACCCCCTAGGTAATCATGCTTGCAGACTAAGGGCCCAAATAATTTTTCCCTCAAGTAAGAAGTGCCTAATGAACTATCACTATCGTTATTAAATGAAGCATAATACTGTGAGCTTCAATTTCATACCAAGAAATTAGATATATGTGTCAATATGTAAACTCAAACACATAATCTGCAGAATTTTTATAATTTTTATACTTATTTTTATTATTATTATTGTGTGAGATATATATTATCTTGCCTTTGCTTACTACAAGCATCAATTACTGCAGGAATCCAGGCCAAACCTAAGAGCTGGATTCAAGACCGTGCTAGGAACTGACTTGAAGTTACAGCAGAATGAAGCCTCTATACACATTTGGAGTGCAATCCAGGAGGCAAAGACTGAGCAGTCTGTGAGTCTAATGCTTGAAGAACTTGCCGGCTACAGGAGTCTAACTCCCTGAACCTTGGTGCATACCACTGGAGTCTATGTTTACGACAAGGTCTCTGTTCAATGGAGGGACCATCACCATAATATTTATTAAAACTCCCTAATATGCGGTTTACTAATCTGCCACTAGCAACTTACGTGAATATTAAAAACCCCAAGACTTCTAAAAACCTGAGAACACACAGTTAAAAACCGATGCTGTTCAACTCATTCGTCTGACAGAAAAATAGAAAATAAAATTTAATGAAGAAAAAGCCTGGGACAGTGGATGCGCCACGGTCGCAGTGGTAAGGACCGAGGGGAACTGGAGTCCTGACCCAGGCCGCTTTGCCGACCAAGGCTTCCTGAGCACGGCGCTTTGGGCGCCCCAGGAGTCTGCAAGGTGTGCTTACAGGATCTGCATGGAAACCAAGGGGCCACAAGTGTCACCCCTAAACTGAGGCACAGCAACAAAAACACCGCCACCATCATCCTGGAAGGCCGCTCGCGCCCCGCGTCCTCCCTCACCCGCCGCCACCGCCCCGGCCGTCAGGACCCGGCCCACGTCTCCCGCGGACGAAAACGGGGCTTCCAGCGTCACCTCGCTGCCGGCAGTGCTGCACCTGGCAGTGCTGCCCAATGTCCAACTCCGCCATCTTTCCAGCCGCAAGGGCAGGGGGTGGGGCAGCGGCGCGTGCGTCAACCCGAGCAGGCAGGGCCCGGGGCGGGGCGTCCTGGGAAGGCGGGCGGGGCGTCCTGGTGGGGTGGGCGGGGCCTGAGGTGGGGCGAGGCGAGCAGGCGGGGCGGGGCCCACAGGAGAGGCGGAGCCTAGGTGACGACCGGAAGTGAAGATGCTAATGAGCTTCGTGGAGGTTCCAGAGCGCTCCAGAAAGAGAAGAGACTTGGTGGAACTCAGTTACTGTAGCTGAGGTTCCCGCGCTCAAGATTGAGAAAAACCCAGTTCCTGCACCTGCTGTTCTCTACACTGAGTCTCCGAAATTAAGAACGCCCTCACGAAGATTTCTTGTTTTTCTTAAGTAACTGTAATCCCAGGAGACAACACTGTAAGAATCAAGTGACATACCTGGACGCTGGTTACTATTGTCTTGATGACTTCGTTTGAAGTAAATGCCCTCACAGTGAAAGCGTTAGACTTTTGTTTTTTATTGTAAATGTTTCTTTTTCTTTTCTTATTTGTTACAATTTTAGTAGGAAAAAAAAACCCATGTAACTAAAGTGCACAGGGCTCCTTGGTTTGGAGAGTGCACACTCATTTCACACTGCCAAGGCAAGCTCCTGGGACAGGGATGAAGGGAGATGTTGGATATGTGACGAGCCTCTTCACGGGAACTAAGGGGAGTCCTTGCCTTGTAAGTGGGATAGAAAGGGATGTCATTCCACTGGCAAGGCACCCGACACCATTCAGAGTGAATGAGTGATAATCAACTGCACTCATGACATGAACATGAATAGCCTCCCATGTGACTTAAGAGTCCCCAAATACTCTCCTGGAGAGTAAAGTGGATATGATTGCCACACACTATACTTTTTCAGTGCATGCTGGGTGTTAGAACATAGCCTCACATGCTTGGACAGCAAACACGTTTCTCACAGAGCTACCTCCCCAACCCTTGCGATTTCTTGAGTCTAAGAACTTACGATTTGTTAATGTTGGTGGAGTCAAGCAACAGCAAATTTTCTGTTTTACTGTGATTGAATATTTTAAATAGGTGGTAAGTATATATCTCCTCAATCCAATCAGAACATTTTTTTTCAGCTCTTGGAGATCTCCTAACAGCCAAGACTGAAGTTTAGCTACTCCTATCTGAGTCTACTTTTCTGACTTTTCTTTAGATATTATTTACAGAAATATGTTTCTCCATATATTTTTGTTCTACCCCTTTGTTAAATATATCCTTATAGATGAGATTCCAATGGTTTTTGAGTCAGAAATTTCTCTACCTCTATACTTAGTCATGACAACTTTTTTTGAAACATGAATTCTCCATTTCTAGCAGTCTGTTATAAGTACCTGCTCTGTGTTATTTGACAATAAAACTTAAGTGCAAAACGAAGGATTTTTTCCCTGTACCATTCCCTCCCTAACTAAAGCAGTCTACCACACTAAGAAGCTCAAATTCACTCTGAAATCTACCCTTTCTAATGTGTGTCATAGAAATAGCCCCTAAACACCATTGAGTCTTCCTTAGAAACATTCTTCACTAGTTATTCTATGGATTATTTTTCCCAGTTAAAAAGTTATTTTCTTGCCCAAGCTATCCCTTCAGTTTCTCACTAGGCACAGCATTCTTTAGTTTGTTCAATAAAGTTTTTCAGTGCATCCTCGACTTTTCTACCCCATCTCTAGCTTCACAATGTCTCCTTCCTGTCCAATAGACTTTTGGGCTCTTTAACTTGTCTACACATGGCAGATGCCGTTTTCCTCTCCCTAGAATGTTCTCTATGTCAAGGATTCCCAAATTCCCTTCAAACTACGAATCATGTGCATGCTTGTCAATAAATATAGCTACCACCCTCCTCCTGTGATCCAATTATAGGGTTAGGGATGGCTGTAAGAAACTGTGCAATTGGCTACAATTGGTCCTTATCAAGTACTTTTAGGAAACCCTTTGCCCCTACTCTACTTTCAGCATATACTTCAGTCACCCCTTCATCTTGCAAGGCTTTTGGAAGGAGCAGGTACAGTCCGTCCCTCAGGACAGCAGACATCTCCTTTAGCAGCTTACTGTGTATGTGTTTTTACTAGCTCTAACCAGATCTTATTATCGGTTACTTGACTCTGCCCTCCATTCGTCATGCCCCACCCAAGCCCTGCTTTGGATTCTATTATCTGCATAATAAAATCTGTTCTTGGGTCAATTCAGCAAGCCATATGAACGTCTCCTATATTTGAGTACTATTCTATATTTGATACAGAATTAAATACAACATAGTCCACACCTACACTGAACTCAAGATCTCTAAGATGGGACGTCTTTGTCTGGCATTTAACATATTTTAAATGTTGGCTCAGCCTACCTTTTCCTTGATATCTCCTGAAGCCTCAGCACTCTGCAGCTGGTCACCTGGCCCCTTGCACAGCCATTTTCTTTTCTTGGAATGTTCGTTCTGCTCCCAGCTGTCACTAACTTTTGTTTAGGAAATCTTTCTTTCCTTAACCACACACAGTTGTCTCGTTCTTATATGCACTGCGTGTCTTTTCCAAAGCATTTGTCCCAGGCTTGATTTTTCATTTTCAATATGTAATTACTGGCTTGTTATGTTCCCCTCTAATTTATAAGGTTCCTGAAGTCAGATGTGGCTCCCTTCATAGCCCATTGTATTAAAATTGCCTTGTGCCTTATCTTTTAGATGTTAAATAAAATACATTGAGTAGATTACCGAGTCTCTTCTATGCACAGGTTCCTGTACCTACTCTCCTTTTCTTTGTGTCCTTTCCTTATCCCCACTGCTTGGAATGTCTGTTGACACATCTTCACAAACCTCTTTAAATGTGTTCATCTCGTAATCACTTCTATAGTTATTTACAGCTTATTATGGCTATGTTTATAACATTTTTATCATTGACTAGGTTAGGCTATGTGGTTATAATCTGATATTTTACACATTATACATTTGTTCTCTGTGACATTTACATTTTTTCTTTATTCCTGATGAGGGTAGAGCCATTGTTCTCAGGTTTTAGAATGGAAAAAAAGTTACAACCTGAAAAAAAAAAAAAACCGTTACAACCTGAAAAAAAGTTACAACCTGAAAAGTTACAACCTGAAAAAAAAAAGTTACAACCTGAAAAAAAAGTTACTACCTGAAAAAGTAATGTCAGACTGTAAACAGTGGAGAGACAGAAAAATATTATGAGTTGTTATTGGCAGTTCAAATTCAGAAAATAAAAACAAAACAAAATAAAACAATATTCATCAGCAATAGAAAATATGAATGATACATCACACAGTCATCTTTACCACAGTGAAAATTAAACAGCCACATGCAAGAATTTTCATGAAACAAAAATGTAACAATGAATAGAAAGATAAAAGCCAAAGAATGTGTACCATGCCATTCCACTTATATATCATCCAAAAAAGGTATCACCTCATTGGTTAAGCACTGGTATCTAGTATTATGCCTCAAAGAAAGATCAAGAAAACAGTTACTGGGTGCCAAGAAAAGAATATCTGTAGTGAGGAAGTTTATAGCATACCTGAGAAAGGAGGTGAAGAGGGGGGTGGATTGCATACCTGAGGAGGGAGGTGAGGAGGGGGGTGGATAGCACACCTGAGGAGGGAGGTGAGGAGGGGGGTGGATAGCACACCTGAGGAGGGAGGTGAGGAGGGGGGTGCATAGCATACCTGAGGAGGGAGGTGAGGAGGGGGGTGGATTGCACACCTGAGGTGTGAGGGGCTTCCTGATGCCCTCCTCTGGCTTTTTTAATGTTCTCTGTATAATTCTTTATGAACTTGTCCATAAAATGTGTTTACATGCTTTTCTATAAATGTATTAGGGTTTGTAATAAAAATGTTTATTTTATGTTTAAGGTCATATGCACTAATATCAACAATTAATAAATGGGACCCCATGAAACTAAAAATTTTCTGTGAGGCAAAGGACATCATCAATAGGACAAAATTGCAGCCTACAGAATAGGAAAAGATTTTCACCAACTCCACATCTGACAGAAAACTATTATACAAAATATATAAAGATCTCAAGAAACTAGACCAAAACAAACCAAATAATCCAATAAAAAATGTGGGTACCCATATAAAGAGAGAAAATTCTCAATAGAGAAATCTCAAATCGCTAAGAAATACTTAAAGTTAAAGTTAGCCATTAGGGAAATGCAAATCAAAACCACTTTAAGATTTGATCATTCACTGGTCAGAATGGTTGAGATTAATAACTCAAGTGACAGGTCATGGTGGTGAGCATGTGGAGCAAGGGAAACACTCCTTCATTGCTGGTGGGGGTGCAAAATTTATTCAGCCACTTTGCAAATCAATATGGTGGTTTCCAGAAAATGGGATCAGTTAACCTCAGGTCCCAGATATACCATTCTTAGGTATATACCCAAAGGACACTCCATCCTACCACAAATATAAGATTAACTATGTTCATTTTGGCTTTATTTATATTAGCTAGACTCTGGAAACAATATAGATGCCCCCCAACTGAAGAAAATGTGGTATATCTACACAATAGAATATTACTCAGCTGTTTTAAAAAAATGACATCATGAAATTTTCAGGCAAATGGATGGAACTAGAAAACATCAGCCTGAGCAAGTTAACCTGGACCCCCAAAGAACACAAACATGGTATGTATTCACTTATAACTGCCAATGGCATGCGCTTATGTTAATGATAAGTATACTAAACCTACACATCCAGAAAGGCTAAGTAACAAGATGGGCTCTGAGGGGACATATGGATCTTCCTAGGAAGGGGAATAGAATAGATTTTGCAGGTGGACTGAGAGTGGGTGGAAATAGGACAGAAGGGATGGAGGGGAGAGGAAGAGAGTACAGGAAGAGATAACTAGAATTGGGAAGCATTTGTGGGATACAATATGGAAAGCTAGTTCAGTAGAAACTCCCAGGATTATATGAGGGTGTCTTAGTTAGGGTTTCACTTACTGTGATA